AATTTGTATCTAGCGAATACGGGGTTGGACTTTGGACTGACATGTTCTTCGAACTTAGTATAATAAGTTTTCAGTTTTACCTTGTCATCTTGTGTTAGACCTTGCCATGTGTTGAATATGTCTCGGCCTTTCTGACCACTCCATATTAGTAAATAACTGCACTTCTCTGCTTCTGAACGGCTTTTGAGAGGACCTGTAAACATGAGCTCGGCATGTTGTTTGAATCGCCTCCAATTTTCGCGAAGATTGTCGCCGATCCATTGCATTTTCGGAACGTCAACGCCACTGAGAGCCATCCTTTTACTCCTGGTACCATGTCATAGTCTCGAGTGGGTTACTGTACGCTTTAATTCCTGACACTAACACCGATGTACATTGCTGCGGATGCCACGAGGCTTATACACTTATCCGCATGTTCACGATTTACATAAATTACAATACGAACGATTTGCATATCATTACATAATCGAGCTTTAAACAAACCGTCCCAGGCTCCCATCCATCACCTCCACCCTTGTTTTTCCTACTTCCTTCCTCAATTCCCTCTTCTTCTTAAAGATAATACTCTGGCACCAAACACAGATGTACATTGCTGCGGATTCCACGAGGCTTATACACTTATCCGCATGTTCACGATTTACATAAATTACAATACGAACGATTTGCATATCATTACATAATCGAGCTTTAAACAAACCGTCCCAGGCTCCCATCCATCACCTCCACCCTTGTTTTTCCTACTTCCTTCCTCAATTTCCAACCCTTTCCATTCATTTGCCTACTTCATCATTCTATATCAAATGTGCTCTTCGCGGTTCCCTGCGCAATCTTTGCATCGAAGCGAGAAAACTGCTGAGCCTCCAATGATAGAAACCTTCTTCTGCATGCTTAAGGGTAATTATTCACAGATATCTATCATTGCACTCGGTTGTCTCGCTGCGATGCAACGTCACGGCTACCTTTCTCCTCATTTTTTCACTTACTTTTATTTATCTTCATATATTGTATTTTTTTGTCATCAGGTAGTTGTTTTCGTTTATTTGTGTGTGTGTTATTTTATTGGTATTTTGATTAGTTGGTTTGTCGATTGATTATTAATTAACGACTTTATGTATTTATCTCCTTAAGTAATCGAGTTTTGCATATAACCAAATCCATCAATGACATGGGAGACATGAGATGGGAGCTCGCTGGTACTTTACTTTTTTCCTGGGTTGTCGTGTACTTTTGCATCTTTAAGACCATTAAACTGACAGGCAAGGTAACATGTAAACAAGTTATCCTGTAGATTAACTGATGTGTGGACCACATTTGGTGATGCCCAATTATGGAATTACGGGTCTTTGAATTAACAAAGACTGCCAATACATCTTCGACAACTTGGAGTTGCGTGATAATATGTGGATAATATGTTGTCGCCACCATTGCTACGAACTCCCTCCCCCAATACAATGTTGGTAGTCCTCAATGCAAAAGACGAAGGTCAGCACCTGATGAMGGTGCTGGAAGGAGTGCTAAAAGAAACTGGAAAAGAAATTAAGAATCTTGAATATGAAATTTTGGTGCATTCGCGACAGTATACAGTATCGATCTCTTATTTATCAGAATTACCCAAATGTTCCCCTTTGTTTACAGCGGAAATCGTTGCATCGCGTCCTCTTTGTTTTGAAGTTTGTCTGGATTTTGTTCTTTCTTTCAATCTGAGGGGCGAAGCTTTTCAAAAACTCGTTCAATCATTGGCTGATTAGTATCAAGCTCCGCCCCAAGTCGCAGAAAAAAACTAAATCCCAACTATTTCCTTTGAACATTGAAGTCGCGATGCAACGGTTGTATGAGAGTATGCTTGCAGACAACACTTTAAATTGTGCTTTCCGATGGGCTAAAGGGATAGACGCCATCCCAAGATCTTATTGTGCCTTTTAGTAACAGTGGTAGTACGTTGAAGAATCTCCGATTTATAAACAGAATCAGCATTCTATAGCCTTTTTCTAGATKATATTAGCTGGCTCAAGGCTCTTGGCAGTACATTGTACGATCATCATGTATTATATTTGTTATTTCTCGACAGATAGTCTATTTTACTGCAATATTCCCGCTTGTCATCATATTCGTCATGCTAATTAGAGGAGTAACACTCGATGGTGTAAGTGAAGGGATTTTGTACTACTTAAAACCAGACTTTGCTCGATTGGCTGATCCTCAGGTACGGCTTTGCAATCGATGTACTCACTGAAAGTTCTTTTTCAGAATCCCTCTCTTTGTTACCTTCACTTTTATATAAACTTCTTTTTCCGGCTTTGATAAATCTGACTTTTTCACCAGGTATTAAGCTTTGAAGATTGTTCGATTGATGTTATCTTTATTCTAAATAGCTTCATGAAAATAATAAACAAAGCACTCAAATCAATGAGGTTACCTGAAATTTCGTTCAGTCCATTTAATCACTGCTTAAAGGCGAGATAATGTAAAGATAATTTACCCGTCCGTGAGTCGAAAAAACTTCTAAGAGCGACCTTATTACTCGTGGGTGGATCCAAACGTTTTTCTGGGACGGAAATCAGAGAATTCAAATTAGCAAAATCTTAGCAAAAATGTTATTCATACCACCAAATCTATGCATGCACGCTTCGAAATAACAGGTCCAAACGTCATCCGCATTGAAAACAAAAGTTTTTTATTGGAAATTACATAAGATTTCCATTATGAATAATCTTTTGCTTCACCTAAACTTAGGTTTGGGTGTTTGCTGCTACTCAAATCTATTGGTCGTTGGGAACTGGATTCGGTGGAGTTATGACTTTTGGCAGTTTTAACACATTTAGAAACAATGTGCACGGGTAGGCAAACAGTGAAGCTATACTCAAACATATATCACACGTATCCGGATAGTAAAACATATTTCACACATACCCGGATATTTTGAAAGATTCTCAGTATATGGACATTATGATCGGTGTTTCAAAAATAATTCAGCATTATTGATGAACCAATACACTTTGTACAATGTTTTTACAATCAATATTTTGTAGGGATGCTTTGTTGATATCAATCTCCAATAGCGTTACAAGTTTTGTAGCTGGTTTTGCTGTCTTCAGTGTTCTTGGATTCATGGCATACACTCTGAAATCAACTGTCGCCAACGTGGCTTCTTCAGGTTAAATATTATTAAGACGTAACGGGAGAATCGCTTGATAATTGGTCATAATTCACTTTTTTAACTTATTTCTAGTGATTGCRGCACTATCTAATTGGTTGTGTGGAGTTAATCATTACCGTGCCATTTCCAGGAGTCCTTTCTTTTTGGATCATATAGTCTTAAAGATCGATATGCAAATAAATGCAAATAAATGTGTCCATTCTTAAAAACTACCAGTTTATGGTCTGGCACTGATTCGATATCAGGAATTTTAGCATGTTGGCATTTCGCATATTGTCTCATAATTCATAAACAGTTCTACAGAGAAATGTGAAAAGAAAAGTGCCATTTTCTTTCTTCGAGAGGGAAGCTATGAATTATAAGAAAGTTCTCTGTTTAGGGACTGCGCAATATTTATCAGGAGGAGGGATCGAGAATCCAGAGAGGAGGTAACATATAATTTTATGTGCATAAAGAGTGGGGGGCAATGTCTAAAATTAACTAGAACTTTAATTGSAAACTGAAAAATCAACGGTGTCAGATTCGAAAATTTCTCAAAAAAAAGCGTGCCACAAATTAATAAATAAATTCACGGGGGATGGGCAGAGTGTAATTTATTTCGTTTGTGAGGGGGGGGGGTGGTAATAAACTTTTTTTGATTTTTTGGATCATTACTCAATCCCCCCTCCTGATAAATATTGCGCAGTCCCTTACTCTCGGCAAAGGCTAATATTTTGTAGAATTATAAATCAACATATAATGTCATTTATTTTTATTGTGCATACAACAGGCCCAGGTTTGGTGTTCATTGTTTACCCTGAAGCCATTTCTCAGATGCCTCTCTCGGTTTTTTGGTCAATACTGTTCTTCTTTATGCTGGTTACACTCGGCCTTGATACAATGGTAAGATACGTTTAACGAGGTTTTCAGTTTATCCATCGGTTGTTTTATATCTGATTCTTCTGGTCTAGGGGTCTAAGCGATTGTTTGTTTGTTTTTGTTTTATTTTTTGGTTGTTTTTTGTTTTTTTGTTGTTTTTTTTGTTTTTTGTTGTTGTTGTTTTTTTTTCATTATATTATTATTTAATAAACTTTATGAAAAATTACGATACAAGTAAAACATGTTTGATTAATATATTTTATTATGATATGAATTATGATATTTAATGAAATACATATCATCCAAGATAATTGGCTCAAACTGTTGCGGTGTCCCTGCCCCTAATATTATTTTGTATTCGTTGTAATGAATCTTTTGTTGATTTTAATGTTGTTGTTTATGTAATTTGGGCAAAGATAATAAAATAAAATAAAATAAAATCAGTATGTTGATATTTTGATGCTCAATGATCAGTTCGGCTCTATTGAATCTGTCGTAACCGCTATTGTGGATGAAAAACCCCAGCTTCTTCGTCACCGTAAATGGCTAGTACTTCTGGTCGTAAGCGTTGTTTTGTTTTTCTTCGGACTCATGAATGTCATGGAGGTAAGTAAGAGCTTCTTTGTCTTATCTGATTGCTAAACAAAACCAATAGGTCTGCTGACTATATCGCGCTAATTTGTTTGTCTGCTGATTGATTTTGCTGGCTGGTTGTATTTATAGGGGAGTACTGTACTCCCCCTGGCTTATAATTATCCTGAACACAGTTTGTYATTGCTATTGCAATTCTACTTCCATCGCAACCATTGCATTTCAAGCCTAATTACATGAAGTGTGCTGGCCCTGTTCATCGGCCTGTCTTCTTTCGTTTTCGCTTCCGTATAATGGACACAAAACAAAAGAAATCAGCCCGGTTAACCGGACCATGCCCCTACATGCAATTAGAACGGACCAACCCTGTATTCACAAAATACCAAAACTTTGTTGGAACACAGGATTATTCATTTATACTTTATATATATATTTAGGGAGGCATGTATATCTTCAATCTCTTTGATTACCAAACTGCTGCTATTAATCTACTCCTTGTGGTATTACTAGAGAATATTTTCATTTCATGGATTTACGGTATGAATGCATCCCAGCTATTGATTAATTCGATCATTGGTGTGCAACCACAAGACCACGATTGGACCCCTTAGAAATTAACAACAAAGCTATCGCCGCCATGCTGGATAAATGGACAAAAGAAACTAATCAGGAATGCTTTAATTGTGATCTTCATACAACATGGCGGCGATGACGACATTTTTACTGGTGAACTGAACATCACAAACGTTATGTAAGGAGTTCACCAGTAATTTTTCAATCAGTTTTATGTATTTTTTAAAGGTATTGATCGATTCAGCCAGGATATTGAGGCGATGACGGGTAGGAAGCCTTATCTATTTATTAAAATCTCATTAAAGTGGATTACACCTTTTGTTAGTGCGGTGAGTATTCGTGCTAGCAACCTGACAGACAGGCATACAGTCTAGAAACTGAGAGACAGCATAAGAATAACAGTGGACATATAACAGACAGGGAGCCAAGCAAGCTCATGTGAAATATATATGCTGTCGACGTTGAAAAAATGATAATTAACAAAATTCTACAAGTTATGGTAAAAATGTAATTTGTTAACATGTGCACAGGCAGACAGCCTTACAAAAAGTGATATAGAAACTTTATGTAAACTCTAGAGTTTAGGACATTCGTTAATGTTTACCAATAGTCTTCTTTACAGTTACCTGCGYCATCTTGAATGGTAGCCGTGCCTTTGCATCGAAGCAAGACGACTGTTGAGCGTGCAATGATAGAAACCTTCTTTCACACCTACAGACAAATATTATTCACAGGTATCTATCATTGCACGCTCAACGGTTGCCTCGCTTTGATGTAAAGGCAAGTCTACCTTTCAAGATGGCGCAGGGAGCCGTAAASGAGACTATTCGAACAAGATAATAATTTTTAATTATCTTTTAACCAGGCAATATTACTGGCAAATGTGATTAAGTGGAATGGTATAAAGTACAATGGTGTTGCCTATCCAGCCTGGGCAGAGATGATTGGCTGGTTTCTGTGTCTGACACCAATCTTTATCATCTTGGGCGTGTCCGTGCATATAATTTGGAAGACACCAGGATCTCTTAAAGAGGTAAAGGTAGCAGTTATTGGGAATAAAAACTAACTGTAGATATATCCCTTAACTTTTAACTACTCACGCTTACTAAGCTCATGAGTGTGACCTTAGCAGTAAAAAAAACAGTTATTGGAAAGTGTGCTCGAAGGTTTATGGCAATATAATGAGCAAGCCTACACACTCAAACACTCTGCAGAAATTTTGACATTTTGACATTCCTGAATTCAACTTTTGAAATACTTTGCACTGGCCATAGTAAAATAGTAATGTTGATGTAATGTTCATTATCATGGATTCATGGCAGCGTTCTCTGGAACAGCATCTTTAACAGCTTTTACGTCATCCAAACGATAGAAATTAAATGTTAAACAATTACTTTCGTCTAACACCGACATCTGATTATTTGTATTTATTGRTATATTTTGATTGTTTCTTAGCGTTGGGCAATTGTTACCCGACCTGATCAGCAAGTACTTAAAGAGATCGAGGAAAAACATAACATCAAACGAAGCAACGTGTGTTTCCTGGTGAGTAGCATTAACADCACATCACACCATCTATTCTCGGACAATAATATTCGGMAACAAAGCTCATATAACAAAGATCATTTTTCTATCAATTCACAGTTATTTACTGAATTTATTGAATTTTAATGGGTCTTTTACATCAGTGTAAGTGTTTGGCTTTGATACAGTTTTAACATACACCTATTTCAAAAAACGACTGAAAGGGACTAAAGGTTACACTGTTTTGACAAAGTGGATTCACCTTTTGACTTATTGGATTCACCTTGAATAGAAACGAAGACTACATGTAAATGGAACCAAGAATGTTCAGCAAAGACTATATCACAGAAGAAATCAGTTGTTATTTTTTTCAATTAGCAAAAACCATGGCTTCTTTCGGTCAAGCAATCGCCGTTYGACAATTGACATTCGCCATTTTTATCCGATAGCCTTATTTGAAATACGTSWATGTCCATTCAACCGACTGTTCCAATTATAAGTTTTGTTTATTGCTAACAACAACAATCTCTAATACTGAGGCTATTTGAGACTCAGCTTGCTTATTTCGGTTCTTTTTGTCCTTTTACAGTGATGTCACAATGWCCTGATCTTCAAGTCAAGCTGGGACCGAACTATAGATATACTAGGATAATTAAACGTTGTTTTTAGAGGGAAGTCCAAAAATCCGTGAAATAGAAATAAAGCTAATGAAAATTAGTAGGCACTAATTGCATTGTTTTCTTTTGTGTCTTTTTGAATATCACACTTTGATAGTCAAGACTTTTTTCACGGATTTAATGACTTCACTCAGCCATTTTAAAAGTTGATTTGCCTAATTTGATTTGAATAGCGATTTTAATTAATAATAAATTAATAATAGTGTTTTACAACCTTCACTCCCAACAAAGAGTTGTTTGATKTGTCATTTGAAGCCGTTTKGTCACATATAACCACACACATGTGATTGATGWTCSTTGTCATGTTCATCTGCCCATCACGCTTCGTGATAGAAGTCTGATTAGGAATCAGTAATTGAGAAGAAATCCCGCATAGGCAAAAACATGAGAAAGTCAAATGATTCAAGGGATTTTTTATTCTTATTTTCTGCTGATCAAACAGAGCATGATCAGCCTCAAAGAATCGCAAAAGAGATACTAACCAAAAGTTGAAGCAGCTAAAACGGCCGACGTCTGGCTAAAACGAAAGTGTATTGTAATATGTTTATATAAGAATTTTAATTCTTATTTAAAAATCACAAGGTTCTATAACGAGGAAATAAAACGGGATGATAAAAATTAACAATAAGTCAAAAATAATAATAATRATTTAAAAAAAATAATGTCGATGAATTTTAAGACCGTGCCGTATTAATTTAAGGCCACGATGCATCAGATGCATGTTAGTTTACAACATCTCGTTGCTTGAGTTAGCATATAGGRCTCAAATWATAACCCAATTGCAAATACTACACGTTGAAACCTAATGGAACACTGTTTGCTTGAAATTCCAATTTTCAATGCAAGCCTACTGTGGTATRTTTTTTTATATTCAGTAGAGATTTGGTGTTTATTTTCGTGTGGTTGTCAAACAACTATGTTCTTGAGACAAAATGTAAACATTGTCGAAATTAGCAAACATCCATTTTTAGGCGATGAACTGAAAGAGGAGGGTCTGGGAACGATGTTTATTAGATACCAATGTTGTAAAGGAAAGACGAGTAAACGTTACTATGGTTTACCACATACGATCTAGTGTCCCATCTTCAGTGTATCTTCAGTGAAGTCTTCCATTGTCTACTGTTCTACAATTTCAGTATAACAGATAATTGACAATTGGTAATGCACAAAATGGTAGCTCATCGGACTGCTTTGTGGTTAGGAATCCTTTACATCGTCTGGTTGTGTCTCTACATCACTTTCCTTGGCTGTGTTCTGTGGAAGTTCGTGGTGGATATGAGCTTTTYAAATATAAATTACTTTTGTTCGTGGTTTATCATTATACAAATTATTTTTTACTCTCTCTTCTTGACTTGCTATACTTGCTCTTTGGACACTTTGAAGAACTACATCAACGCATTGTTATTTCCTATAGTATCTGGGTCAGCTTGGACAATCTTTTTTGTGTGTATAACAGGAAAGAAAGCGTATTTGGACTTTACAGACATCAGGTRTTTTGCTCTCCACGTACTTCCTTGSTTGGTCTCATTAATACACGAATTATTCATCCATATAGGAACCGACTGTCAACATGAAAACAAATCAAGCAAATCGTTAAYAATGTGGATCATCTTGTCACCTCTTCTTGTGCTTATTCTTTATAACATGCATATTGATAAAGATGAGGTGTATATTTACCAGGTTAAGCCTCCTAGTAATGAAGTGATTTTTACCATTTTGTATCATCGCCAATTTGAGACTTGCATATTTCACACTCTCTCTTGCACAATAAATATTTCTATAATATCGCCAAATCGATACAAATTACCAATGTTTCATTTCTAGGTCTATTCTAATAGATGTRTAATATGAACCACCTATTAGAATCCACCAAACTATGGGTATCACAAATCCAGCAATCTGTTTGTATATTCGTTGACCATGGTCGCATCGTATGAAGCAAAAATAGTCGAAAAGTAGTGTAGAAATTGTTCAGTTGTGACGGATATAGTTTCACATTGATMGTATAGATTGATAGCCTGGTTCAGGAGGCTTTTTATTCTTTTGCTTACTATCGAGTGGCGAAGCGGCTAGACGTTTCCGTTAATCGAGTATAGATCTATTGATCAGGTTTGTGACGATGAAGAAAAAGTGGTGGAACTAGTTCACAAGTGGTGTTATCAATAGACACAGAATCTTTAGAACTAAAATTGAGTGATTTGTCATAGTTGAATAACTATCTTGGATATTTAGCGTACAGTTGTACAGTTGTTGTTCATCTGGAGAATTTATAGACACATTTTTGAAAAATCAATTTTCATCAATGATGAGATTATGTCTTCTGATTGTGCAATAACAGTCTTTAGCTTCAATAAATGTGTTTTTTTTTTATTGGCTTGTCTATTTGCCTTAAATTTAGTGAATGTTTAAATTCGATTTACCATTTAAGTTCTATTTGAGAATATGAGTGACGAAATAAATGACAGTGAGCATTTTACTATAAAAATGAAAGAAATAAAGAGGGGCGAAGAATTAGGAAGCCAAAAGACCGTGTTTGTTTATCATGTAAACAAAGATGGTGTAGAAATTCACCAAGGATAATGAATATTTTTTTTTTGTGTGGAAATCGGTCATTAAGGCCTTCTTCTCAAGGTTGAAGAAGAAATATAAAAAACATCGAAAATTAGTTTTGAAGGGAGAATAAGCAAGAGGGTTTTTTAAAAGGTTAATCAAGCACTTCATGAAGCCTGCTTAGTTGTTGTYAGAAGTACATAACCAGAAGTGTCCATCTCCCCAATAATATCGACACCATCAGATGTCCCGATAATCTATTTTTAGACAACCAATCACAACGCGCGCACATATTACACGGCACCTGATTGGTCCTTGTTGATCTACTTCAAGAGCGGACAAGAAAGGAAAATGGTGGGAACTAGCGGTAAACTAGTGTGAGCTGCGTGAAACAGTTGTGTAAAGAAGATAAGTTTAACACCGTAAAAAAGTATGGGAAATAACTTACTGACGTTTCGGATGTTAATCCTTCGTCGGAGTAAAGAGAGAGAGAAAAAAAATGCTTTTTTTCTCTCTCTTTACTCCGACGAAGGATTAACATCCGAAACGTCAGTAAGTTATTTCCCATACTTTTTTACAAGAAAGGAAAATTATGTAGTCGATGGAGGCGAACGAAGTGAASTTTGCATTTACGAGAATTKTACACCTTTTGCTGAACAATCATTTTTGAATTCGATAGAAAACATACTTTACTATATGAGAAATGTAGCGAAGGCAGTTCAAGAGATATGATAGACACATTG